GGCGCGACATAAAGCACCATGGGGCGGCCATGGATGTCTCTCGTGGTCGTCGACTCGCCGGAGACGCGGGAACTGCGGCTGCCTGCGTGGGTGCCCATGGCAGGGGCTTGAGGGCGCGCATGGTCGGGCTCCAGGAGGTGGTCGAAGCAGGGGATCCAGGGGCGCGGATCCCATTGGGCTCGAGGGCGAGGGCGCCTCAAGGCGGCTGATCTGGTTGGACGGATCGGGAGGGATCCCGATGCGGATGTGGCTGGTTGGGCCGGTGGTAAAACTCAAGGGAGGAGGTGGAGGCTACCGGTTGGTGTGGTGGATCCGGAGGGATCCCGAGGTGGATCGAGACCGGGTGGCGGCGGCGACAGGGACAAAAGTCCTAGAAATTAGGGTTTGGGTCTAAAAATGGACTAGGGTCTATATATATACAAAAGAGGGTGATTTGGATCCTCCGATAGCGATCGGGCGGTCGAGAAAATATAGGTTAGGAAGCCCAATTAACAAAACGGAGATGTTTTGTAGATGTTTGGGGATGATCCGGATCCAACGGTGACGACTGCCCGGGTCGGGTTCGGGGGAGCTCTCGGACGCGCGCGCGAGGAGGGCCGCAAGCTGACGAGAGAGCTTAGGCTAGGCCTGGCGGTGTGTAGTGATATGTGAATACAGTCTAGGGAGGAAAAGAGAGGGAAAGTCCGGCAACAGTTTTCGGAGACCGAAAACGTCCGACGTTAGACCGACTATAATGTCGCTATAGTTATCCTTTGGGGCGTCAAATGGACTCCGAATGCGATGAAACTTGGCAGGCGGCCTACCTACACTATAATAAGACCGCACGCCAACTTTCAACCCAATCCGAGAACATTTTCCAGCCACTTATAAAATACTATTTCGGACATGCCGCGGGCGCGTGCGAGTGTGTCTGAGCTCAGAACGGACAACGGACGGAACTGGGGGAACCCGGACGGATGCAAGTTTTGAAAACAGATGATGCAATGCACATGATGACATGATAAAAAGCAACACGCAATCAAATGACATGGCAACGACAACGAATAACTGGAAGACACCTGGCACATCGGTCTCGGGGCGTTACACAACAATACAAGTACGTGCCTCGCTACCCCTTCTGTCACTGAGTAAGGACACCGCAAGATTGAACCCATCACAAAGCACCTCTCCCAGTGAAGATAAATCAATCTAGTTGGCCAAACCAAACATTTAGATCGGAGAGAAATACAAACTTACAATAATCATGCATAATATAATTTAGAAAAGACTCAATTACTTTCAATGAATAATCCGATCATAAATCCATAATTCATCAGATCCCAATAAACACACCACAGAAGAAGATTACATCGGATAGAACTCCAAGAAGATGGAGGAGAACATGATATTGAAGATCAGAGAGAGAGAGAGAGAGAGAGAGAGAGAGAGAGAGAGAGAGAGAGAGAGAGAGAGAAAGACATCTAGCTACTAGCTATGGACCCATAGGTCGGTGGTGAACTACTCACGCATCATCAGCAGGACAACAAGGTTGATGTAGAAGCCCTTTGTGATTGATTCCCCCTACGACAAAGTAATGGAAAAGGCCTCCATTTGGAATTGCTGAAGAACAGAGGCATGCGGCTACGAAAAAAGTATTTCGGGTGTCTTTGTTGGTTTGGGGATATTTGAGAATTTATAAAGGTGGATGAGGTCAATCGGAGTTGCGTGGGAGTCACGAGCTCAGGGGCACGCCTACCCCCTAGGGCGCGGCCTGTGAACTCATGGCTCCCCCGTAAGTCTTCCGGCCTCCTCCAAACCTTCTAGGGTCCCTTCTAGTCTAAAAAGATCGCCGTAAAGTTTCAGCGTATTTAGACTTCGTTTGATATTGATTTTCTAAAAGTAAAAAACAAGAAAAAAAGAATTTGACACTGGGCGCTGAATTAATATGTTAATCCCAAAAATGGTATAAATAGCATATAAAGCATTCAAGATTGATAATATAATAGCATGAAACAATTCAAAATTATAGATACGTTGAAGACATATCAACCGACAATTATCAAAGCTGCGACCGGCAAGCCACAGTGCTGGGAGCCCCAAACTAGTTTTGTTGGGACCGGTGACTATTGAAGCTGCAATCGGCGAACCATGTTATTGGAACCAGTGAACATTCTTGTTGGGACGGGGGACTGGGACTGACAACTAACTGAGTTGCGGCTCGTGAAACATTTTTGCGGAAATCGATGAACTTTGTTGCTTGCATGGACGACTACCGGAGATGCAACTAAATGCTTTGACGTCGTACTATGAACTATTTTTTGTTGGAACCAGTGAGTTGTGATGCTTCGACCGCGAGCCGACGACTTTCCAGATGCGGCTGGCAGGTGCTACAAGCGGTTGACCATGACGATCCAACATTGCTGCCATGGGACACGATGGCGCTGCCATGTGCTACGACGGGACCACCAACCCCTCGTGACCGTGGCATCACCTTCACATGCCAAGTAGCCCCGAAGTTCAGGATATCTTCAGGGCCTCCACGGTCTGGACCCTTGGAGATGGTCGTACTTGCAAATTTTGGGTTGATCATTAGCTAGATGGCAAGTCAATTGAAGAGATCGCCCCACTGATTTTTGAGAAGGTGCCTCGAGGCTGTCATAAGCTCACCTCCATGTGCGACGCCTTATCTGACCGATATTGGGCGCGGCAAATCGCTGGTTCTCTTGGGCCCGCTGCACTGAACCAGTACGTCCATCTGTGGAGACGGTTGTTGCACATTGTGCTTTCGGAGCTGCCTGACTCCATCAGATGGAGGTGGACTCTGACCGGTACCTACTCCGCGAGCTCCTGTTATCAAGCTCTGTTTCATGGCTCCATCGAGGCACCCCACTGGCGGCTAAATTGGAGAACATGGGCGCCTTTCTGTGTGAAGATCTTCTTTGGCCTAGGTCTCAGAGATCGGTGCTGGACCGCAGAGCGCCTCGCCTGACATGGCTTGCCGCACGACTCGACGTGCTGCCTTCGCAACCAGGTACTGGAAACCATGCCCCACCTACTCTCTTGATGCCCGTTCTCCAGACAAGTATGGCACGAGATCTTGGGTTGGTGCCGGCTTCCAGTCACCATTCCATCTGCGGACGTCCTCTTCCTTGATTGGCTTGCATCGTCGGCTTCTGGCTCCCCGCTCTGTTTGTGCCGCGGCTTCATGTCGCTTGCCCTGCTCACCACTTGCTCGATCTGGAAGCAACACAAAGCCCGCATCCTACTGACTCACGCCGTGTCGCGTGTCCATGCTCATCAGAGGTTTTTCAGTAGCTGTTGCCTGCTACTATTTTTACCTATCAATGCAATGATGTATTCAGGAAAAAAAAGGGTATGTGCCGCAACTCTGGCCACCGGATGGGGAGAGTGGCTGCGCCATGCGACGCACAACGTGGACGATGCTGTGAGCACCTAGGAGAACGGCAGGACGACTAGGCATGGGTCCTCGGACATGGGCAAAGGACGCAACGCGAGCTGCGAGCAGGCTGTTTTGTTGATGCCTCGTGCGTGCGGGATTTGCACGTGCCAAAAGGGAGGCGAGGCTAAGATGATGCAGATGCATGATCCAACGGTTACCATCGTCTTAATCTCTCACAGTGCGGAAGGCCGCCGCGTTCTATGCCTGCGCCGGTCACCGGCGCAGAGCGCTGGCCCTTTCTTTACTAGCTGCGGCATAGAAAAAATTTCGCCAGTTCTTCCACATAAGTTGGACTTTTTTTTTCTTTAACCTACATACTATTCTCTCTGTAAAGAAATATATGAGTGTTTAGACAATTATTTTAATAATCTAAACGTTCTTATATTTCTTTACGAAGGGAGTATCTTGAAGTCGACACCCCGCGGCCGGGGCTACGAAAATGGCGTTTCCCTCTCCGTGCTACAGTCATTAACCACAAGGTCCACAACATCTGGTATTTCCTTTTTCTTTTTTAGAATATCTGATAATTATTTGGAGTATACGTACTGGAGACGTCCGGTGTAACCCAGCCGCACGTATAATTCGATCACCAGTCTTTATCCAAGTGGAACAACATCCTTCGGCGACACGCCCTCAAGCAATATAAGAACATATACATGGCGGTATCCAAACGGAGCCGGCCGGCGACGCATGTCCTCTTCCATACGGACTGATTCTCCGATACGCATCTCTGCAGTATTGAATTGCAAATTAGTACATATATGAATCATTGAGAAAAGAGATGGTAGATGGTACAGCGTTTGCACCTATTAATTAAACATGGAAATCACGTCATTATTTTGACGAAATAAGCAGCTAGCTAGGCGCTGATTTCCATTGATGAAGAAGGTAGAGATCAATCGTTCTGAAGAAAAAAGAAAAAACAGCGTGGCGCCGGGAACCACGCCTAAGCTGTTACACTGGCCGATCTGAAGAGGGTGATGCCAAATTTGCATTTTTGAACAATGCTTCTCTCCTTGAAATGGAGTATGTGTGTTCTAAAATAGTTCGTCGTTATTGATGTAAATAAATTAGAGCTTCCTCCGTCCCATAATATAAGAGCATCTATTATGAGACGGAGGGAGTAAAAAAGAGTAAGTGGAGCACTTGTCAGGGTAGAACTTACCCTGATTAACAAATGTGCCCTCATTGTTTACTTGTACAGCCCATAAAAAGGGTTATCAATCAAGGTCTTGACACATGGAAATCAGAGGACGTGAAGCCCCTGCTGAGCAAACAAGGAAAGCAACGAGCACGCACTCATAGAAAACATGAACTTAAATCTTAAAATACCACAAGACGGCAACCCAACGCTGGTGCCAGTATATATTTAGCACCTAATTAAACATTTTATTGTGGCAGGACAGATTGACGGACAATTCTTATGATTGTGCAGCTGTATATAAAGTTCCACATACATGAATCTCCACTCATCTGGTACGATTCCAAGTAGTTCGGTGCCAATGCTTCATCAGCTTTCAAGTACTAGAACCTAATCAGGTGAGTTGTACACACATTTACCATGGAGAAGGGGCAGGACATAGCGGCATCCGGCGGTGAGAAAGGTTCAGAGCAGCACGCCATTGATGTAGTTCCCATAGAGGTAGAGCATGGCGACGGCAAGGGCGTCGTCCACGCCGGAGCCGGAGATGACACCGAGAAGGAGAGACTGGTCGTTGTTGAGGAGCCCCAGAAGAAGAAGAGCACGAGGGTGGCAGCTCTCGATGCCTTCAGAGGGCTCACCATTGTGGTACTAGCTATGTTCCTCCGAATATGCACATATGATTACTTTTTCCCAAGCAAATATGCTACGAAATGCTTACAAGCCACCATGCATATGAACTGCTGACAGTCTCTTGCGTGCAGCTGATGGTACTGGTGGACGATGCCGGTGGGGCTTACGAGCGGATGGACCACTCGCCCTGGAACGGTTGCACTCTGGCAGACTTTGTCATGCCCTTCTTCCTCTTCATCGTCGGTGTCGCAATCGCCTTTGCCATGAAGGTCAGTAAAGCACTTCTGCGTGCTCATACTCTTGCAAATTTGGTAAACCAAACATTTTTGGTGGATATGTAGATTTCTTTTTTAAATGCTCATTAGGATTAATATTTTGCAGAGGGTTCCAAACATGGGTGCCGCTGTGAAGAAGGTCAGCGTCAGAACACTAAAAATGCTCTTCTGGGGCCTGCTACTGCAAGGTACTTGAAGTCGATGTGTAGAGTGTTTACACAATTCAGTTTGCACCCATGTTTCTTAATTTGACACTATCGAACTCGAATGTAGGTGGATACTCTCACGCTCCGGACGACCTTGCTTATGGAGTGGACATGAAGGTGATAAGATGGTGTGGCATCCTCCAGGTTCGGTTCATATTTACCAAACAAACAAACTTGTCATTCATTTCATCATCCATCTTGGTCTTAATCATAACATAGTTCTTTCCTTATATTTGACGATGGTTCATCAGAGGATAGCTTTGGTGTACTTCGTGGTTGCCCTCATAGAGGTGTTCACCATAAAGGTGCGGCCTGTCACCGTCCGTTCCGGTCCTTACGCCATCTTCCATGCCTACCGGTGGCAATGGTACAACAATGTTTCCCTGATACTTGTCTTGCTGCACTGTAAACTGCATACTCATAATTTTTTCCTGTCTCTGATTATGATGGAAAATTCTTGTCATTTCTGACAATCGACAGGTTAGGCGGATTCATCGTGTTCATCGTATACATGGTCACGACGTTCTCGCTTTATGTTCCAGATTGGAGCTATGTGTACCATTCGGATGGCGATGCCAATGATGGGAAGCGGTTTACGGTACTTGGAGCTAACCCTTAGGATGCTATCCCTGTTGATTATTTCCGTATTTGATACAACTTGTGTTTTCAGGTACAATGTGGTGTAAGGGGTCACCTGGACCCGGCTTGCAATGCAGTGGGTCATGTTGATAGGGTGGTCTGGGGGATTAATCATCTCTACTCGCAGCCCGTCTGGATCCGGACTAAGGTAGAACTGTAATCTTGATATGTTCAGATTTTATTTTCACTGTTATGTACAAGTAGCTGCAGAAAGTTTTCCTTACTAGCTATAAATGATATACTACACATTAAGCTAGAAAGTGTAAGTCTGACAATATGTGCACTGAAATTGCCATTTTCAGGATTGTACATTTAGCTCACCCGAATCAGGTCCTCTCCGTGCCGATGCTCCATCATGGTGTCTTGCGCCATTCGAACCAGAAGGATTGTTAAGGTTGGAGATCCAACATAGCTTACACTGAATTAATCTTAGTTATATAGTTTGTTTATTTCACCTATTCAAGTATTTTCCCTGTTTTACGTTTCAGTTCAATATCGTCGATTCTATCAGGGACAATTGGAATCCACTATGGCCATGTTCTAATCCATTTCAAGGTGATTATCCAAAACATTGTACCAGTATCATTTGGTTATGATAAAAGCAACTATGACATCAAAGTTTCTTAATATTAGACCCATAAGGAGAGACTGAAACACTGGCTTTCAATGGGCTTTTCACTCCTCTTGCTCGGCATTATCCTTCACTTCACAAAAGGTACTTATCCTAACAATCCATTTCCGACACTTGAACTAATCACTATAAACTGTGACCTCAGAATCTTACATCCATCGCTCTTGTGCTGTAGCTATTCCAATCAATAAGCAACTCTACAGTATCAGTTACGTTTGCTTCACTGCCGGCGCGGCTGGAATAGTTCTTTCAGCTTTCTACATGCTGGTATGGTTTATCATAAGTACTTAGAGCATGAAATTTCTGCACTTCCATCAGCTCTTTCCCAATGATGTACTCATTTCATTGTCACAATGATAGATTGATGTCTGGGGCCTGAGAGTACCATTCTTGTTCCTCGAGTGGATCGGCATGAACGCCATGCTTGTGTACGTCCTAGCGGCACAGGGCATATTTGCAGCTTTCGTGAACGGATGGTACTATGAGTCACAAGATAAAACCCTTGTAAGTAATCGGTGAAGGTTAACTTGGTAGTGACATTTGGAGCCTGTATTTGCATGGGCTTAATTTGTTTGTCTTTTATTTTTGGCAGGTTAACTGGATCCAAAAGCATGTGTTTGTCAATGTATGGCATTCAGAAAGGCTGGGAACTCTGCTGTACGTCATATTTGGAGAGATCCTCTTCTGGGGTGTTGTCTCTGGCATCTTGCACAAGCTGGGGATTTACTGGAAACTATGAGATTTCTAGATGAAAACTATGTACAATGATCTATTTCTTCCAGCAGTAAATTATGTCATTCGTTTTCATCCAACATTATTTTGTAAGATTGATGTAAAAAAAAGCGATAATTGTCTTATTCTATTGTCAAATTTGTTGCTTTCAATGTTTTTTTTGTTGATAAAATTAATTCAAGTTCAGAACTTGAGATTGGGATATATAACAAAGCACCCAAACCGTCTAATGGCAAGATGGTCAGCCTGTTGGAACTAGAGGTTGACCGATGGCATTAGGTAAAAATATAAGCTACGGTACCAAAAGTGTCCATAGAAAATGGATTTTTAAGGACAGTTGAAACTCTTAAGCTTATCCAGATGAGAGAATGCAGAATTTGGAGAACATGGGCAAGTTGCCACTTTGCTCACGGATCATGAGACAAGTCTGCCTGTCCTAGCTCCTCTCTATTCAGCCATATGCTTGAAAGAGACTCCAGGGCTCCATCCATGCATACAGCCAAAGGCCGGCAGTGCCAAATTGGCAATAGAATCTAATCGTCTACTCACAATGTACACATTGGTATCATTCCAGAAGATACCAATGGAATTGTCACTGCCCCTCTGTTGGTTTTTACTGCCCCGCTTTGAGTTAGGAAGGAACAAACGAGAAGGCGGCAATCTCTGCTCACTTCTTGTCCTATTCCTGCTAATCATGCAAGCTTTTGTTGTTCTTCTTTCTTCATTTTTTCTAGGGATAAGAATAATTTTCTTCCTCGAACTTTTTCGAGAGTTTAGAAACCGTCCCTCAACTCGAAACCGGATAGTTTTCGTCCCTCAACTATCAAAACCAGATAGTTTTCGTCCCTCAACTATCAAAACCGGATAGTTTTCGTCCCTCATGCCGCTTCGGGCGGTTTTAGTACGCGGTGAATAGTAACTCGACAAACAGTAAAATCGAAAAAATAGCAAAAAAATTTAAAAAATCTGAAATTTTACAGCGTCGAAGAAACTCTGGTGCACATGACCCGTGCAAAATTTCATGGTGTTCCGACATTCGAGCAGCTCGCAGCAAACAAAAACTGTAAATATATACGTCGGTGAACAATAAATTCAAAAAAATAGCAAACAAAATCAAAATAGTAAGAATTTTTTTGGCATCATAGAGGCTTGGGTGTTCAACATGCGTGCAATTTTTCGTGGTGTTTGGGCATTGTACGAACTCGTGGCAAACAAACAAAATTTGACTCATTTTTTTTGAAAAAGTGCGCTATTTTGTTTTTTTGCTAGAGCTCCTCGTATGTCATTTGACCATGAAATTTTGCACACATATTACGTACCTGAGCATCTTTGATGCCAAAAAGTTTCATAAATTTTTTATTTATTTTTGCTATTTTTTGAATTTACTGTTCACCGACGTACATATTTACAGTTTTTTGTTTGTCACGAGCTGCTCGAATGTTGAAACACCACAAAAATTTGCAAGGGTCTTGTGCACCAGAGTTTCTTCGATGCTGTAAAATTTCAGATTTTTTTATTTTTTTTGCTATTTTTTTCGATTGTGCTGTTCACCGAGTTACTATTCACCACGTACTAAAACCGCCCGAAGCGGCATGAGGGACGAAAACTATCCAGTTTTTATAGTTGAGGGACGAAAACTATCCGGTTTTAAGTTGAGGGATGATTTCTAAACTCTCAGAAAAGTTCGAGGACGAAAAATATACTTATTCCTTTTTTCTATTATGCTGTGATACCAAGTGTAGTTCGTCTGTAAGAACAAAAAGGCTTTGTTGGATGCTATCAAGACTAGTTGGCATAGGGCACAAAAGGTTCCGAATGTTGCCCGGTACCCAAGGTTCCAAGAAAATGGAACTTAATCATTATAGAAGTGCTGGCACCAGTTGTTTTGTGCCGTTTCTCTAGTAACTTGGGCCTTTTGTAACGTACTCCCTTCGTTCCAAATTACTCGTCGTAGAAATGGATATATTTAAAACTAAAATATATCTAGATACATCCATACCTGCAACGAATAATTCGGAACGAAGGGAGTATAGGATAGTGCATTAATCTATAGTCTTCAGTAGTAAGGGCTATTCATGCCAACGCCATACATGATGAACCGTTGGTTCAGACTCGATAAATAAACTACAAGGCTGAAGTCAGACTCTGTTCCCTGTGGTTACTCTGTTCTCCACACTCGCTCTTACAATCATGCAACAGTTTCTTTTTGTTTTGTTGCGTGATCTGCCATCTTGTCATTTTTCATGAACAAGTTGACGTTTCGAACTGTTTGGACACTGCGGTGGCATCTGTCATGGGGACTGAGTTTTCTCAATGTTGTCTAGAAGTATCTTATGCTACTATTTAAGTATATGCTGAAAGCCTGAAAGAGGGTTATGAGAAGCCAAGAGTTCGCTGATAATACTAACTTTTGGACTAGTTACGATGAATAAAACTTAAGTCGGTGCACTGGCCGTCTCGGTGGACCATTGCCCTTCTTCGGTGGCATCTACAATTCTCTTTGTTACGTGACTTCGCCGGTTAAAGCATCACAGCCAGACGTTTTAAACCGGTCTCAAATATTCGAATGGACAGACCGGGAACCAGTTAATTTTTTTTAATTTACTCGGATATAAAAAATCAGCCTCAAACGTCTAGGCTGTACGACACCCCTCATATCCAGCCAAATGTAGGGCGAATATGAGGCACGCTGGGGCGCCATGTCAGCTGGGCCCACAACTGGCCCATCATGACCCCACTCTGTCCCTATAAAAACCCCATCCGAATTGAGCGCTAACCTTACTTCACTTTGCTCTGGTCTTCGTCTCTTCTTCTCCCTTATCCAATCCGCCACCTTCCGATCTCCGTCCGCCATGTCCAGCACCGGTAGCTACTCCGACGGATCCGGTGATGATTAGGATGCGTTCCTCCGTGAGGCTGCCAGCGACGAGGACGTGTTGGCCATCTGCATCTCATTGGAGCGGTTGCGGGTGGACATGTGCAGCAGCTCCAGGTCTGCTCTTTTGCGTGCCGCCCGCAGCCGCAGCTCTGACACTGGAATTGGCCATTCCCACCCCGCGGGCAGCTCACTCCGCAAGGGAGAGGGTTGCCGCGTTCGAGGCAGTCGCACAGTCCTTCCACTGCCGCCACAGGCTGCCGGCGATGCCTAGCGAGGAGGAGGAGCTCCTCGCATGGGTCTACCGCCGTTCACTTACAACGGGGAGACGGACGCCCGTCGGCTCCGAAGGAAAACGGGAAGGCACTCCGGTTGGGCCTAGAGCAGTCTGCGCGTGAGGTGGCTAAGGCAGCAGCGGAGGCGGCGAGAGTTGCCAAGATCAAGCGGAAGCAGGCCCGCATCGTCCTGAGGATGAAGGGCTACATCGCCTCCTCCTCCTCCTCCGACATCATTGACGGCTCTGATGATGGCTCCTATGACCCCCTGCTGTCACGAACGCCTATAGCTAAGCCAGTAACCGGACGGGCAAAGGCTCGACGAGGAAGCGGTGAAGAAGCTCTGCGCTCCGTTGTATATTGTCGCTTTTTAGTTGTTTTACTTTAGAACCTGTTTGGCGATGAACTCTTGTGATCTTTTTAGACGATGTAAAGTGGCTTCTGTGCATTTTGGTGTCTTTTGCAGCCGAATTCTATGTCCATTTTTTGAACGTCCGTTTGTTTCGTTGATGATCTATGTTTTCACATTGCATGTGTAGTATGGATTTTGGATGCCAGATATGAGGTACACGGCTGTGTGGGCGAGAATTTGAGGTCTAAGGGCATCTCCAGCACTGAACCGCAAATTTGCTTTGGCATATGTCAACGGATAGGGGGGGGGGACTGATGTCGGAGGCGCCCATCCAAAGCTATTCACATATGTCCGGTCACATTTCAAATGAATTTTAATGAAAATGAAAAATTTGATTCAAAGTCGACAAACAGGATGATACTCACTTAAACTAGGATATTTTTACATAAAATGAAACGATATTTCATCCGTGAACTAAAAGAACCTAACCCTACACTACCCTATACTTGACGGTGACCTCGTAGGCCATGCCGGGTTGGCTGGCGTCTCCTTCATCATCGTCGTCGGGCTTCGGGTGGCGGAAGGGGGTCGCGTCGTGGCAAGGCTTCCTGGTAGCCGTCTGACGCTCGCGGATGATCCTCTTTGCTTCCTC